GTGGGAGGTGACCACATGGCAAGAGGCCTGACCCGCCCGCTGCTCCCCTCAGCAGCCTGTTGGGCTCCCCACTCTGTCGCTGGTGAATCCTCTCACGGCCGCTGCACCTCTGGCCTGTACCCCAATTCTGTATGCACAAATAAATAAAACTTTAAAAAAAAAAGAGAGAGAATAACAAATGCTAACATTGACATTTATTTGACAAATAAAGATATTGTTCCTCTGTACTAGACATTATCTGAAGTGCTTGAGTTCTATCACTAAACAAAACAGAAGAAGTAACCCCCTCCCCCACCACCACCATGGAGCTTACATTCTAGGAAACAGAATCCAAGATGGCTACCGTTTAGAACTCAAGGGAGAAAGTAGCACAAGTGGGTGCAAGATGAGACTATAAAGGGAGGTAAGGACCTGACTAGTGGCTGGCTAAGAATTTGTAGACTTTATTTACACACTTCAAATGGACAGGATTATAAGGAAAAGAAGAAATATACCTGCATAGACACAGGTAAGCAGAGACTGCTTTGCAAAGGAAAAAGGTTGGTGAAAAGAAACATCAGAGACACAGGAAGGAGGAAAACTGCCAGAATTTATAAATGTTAATACCACAAGACATGATCAGATTGTTTTTTAAACAATCACTCCAAGGTATACATGTTCTCTCTCTTCTATTTACGTTCCTAGAAGATTTGCTCAATAATTAATAAGCGCAGAAGGCCCATTTGTAAATAACGGGCACTCAATAGATAATAGTGCTAACCCTGGGAGCTTCTGTGTGCTGGACACTGAGCTAAGCACATTCTATGTAGGAAGCCATAATCTTTACAACCCACCATCTCAAGTGACAGGCCAGAGAGGATGCTGTTCATTGGAGAACTGGAACCCGGACACAGCTAAGAATGTATACAGCTATTGCCCAAGGTATATTGTGGGGGAGAGCAGAAGATATGAAAACAAAACCTAAGTGCCACACACAACCCATGTGCCTTGGCTTCTTATTTAAACCAAATTATTCTTTAAAGTTCACAGCCACAAAGAAAAGAAATACGTACATATGAAAACAGTCTGATCCTACACACCTCTAGGGTTCTCACCTGTATTCATAATTATTCAAGTATATGTTTAGCAAAATCATTGTACTTTCTTAGGAGCAGCTTATGACATATCACAGCAATCTCTGGAGGTATCAAAACAGTTCCTTCCTGTTAGGAATTTTTTTTTTTAAGATTTATTTATTTATGCATACAGAACTGGGGTACAGGCCAGAGGTGCAGGGGGTGGGGGTGAGAGGATTCACCAGAGACAGAGTGGGGAGCATGACAGGCAGACTGATGAAGTACACTGCTGAGGGGAGCAGCCAGTGGGTCAGGAGAGGTCTGCCAGGCCATGTGGAATCACCGCATGAGGAAGTGGCTTTAGCTTCTTAGTACTGCGCTTTAACCCACTGCACCACCAGGGAGGGCCCAGGAATTTTTATTTTTAACCTGGAGAATTTATCACCTGGAATCCACAGAGACACGGACTTCACTGATGGACATCACCTTCCTTCAGCCTCCCCTGACTGCAAAAGACACATGAGACTCCTCATCCCCCAACTCCTCACATACACCAACCCTCCCCCCTCCGCACACACACTCCCCCTACTAGAAAAGAGGGGAATGAAGCTGACAGGAAGAGGTAAGTGGATCAGTCACAGACAGAGCTGCACAAGTATGTTCCTGTTTCAGAGGGGAATCCCCACAGCGAACTAAGGTATCCAGAAGAGGAGGAAAGGCAGGAGCCTTAATAGGGGAGGTGCTTTGGTGAAGAGGAGTCCAGTTATTACAGAGGGTCTTTAACCAGAATTCCATTTCAATGCAAGTGTGAAACAGCCCAGGGGGCCTGAGCAGTCATTTTTCAGATTAAATATAAGTTTATCTGAAAGTTTACTGAAGCAGAAATGACCAAGAGCCATGGGTTCTCTCTAGAGCTTTACTTCTGTGCAGAACCTTCCCTCAGATTCCACCCCTGCATTTTTTTGCTTTTGTTTCTCCAGCTTTTCCTTCATCACAGGCAAGAATTATAGCCCCTGGCTGGACTTCTCTCTCTCTCCTTGCTGGAGGTGTGGCAGGTTGATTTGAGTAGGAAATTGGGGTACCTGGGCTTTATAACATTTCATAAACTTTGTGTAAACCAAAGCCAGGATTTTGCAATAAAAAGTATTTTTATAGAAACCAAACAAAACTAACATGAGTTGTGCCCAGTTATTCAGAAGGCGAAGGAACTGTTTTTCTTGACAGCCTTAAAAACTTGAAACGAATGTTAAAGATAGGAGTACTGTCACAGAACAGAGACACTTTCCAGCTCCTATTATTTATCTTCTGTGGCAATAACTACACCTGCCCATTCCCTTCCACCCCAGCTCTACAACAGACCTCTTCCAAAAACAAAAGGCAGTTAGGTAGAATGCTTCCCTTTATTATAGAGTTTTAACTCCTGGCAGAGAATGACTTGATGAACTACAATGTACTGCTGTGCCCAACACAGTCAAAGTTAATAGGAAAATAATAATAATAATAATGCACATTTAATCAGCACATACTAGGCACTGCAGTAACCATATGTACCTTATAATCTTTCCACAATCCAGAAGAGGCTTGGAGAAGGCAATTTGCTGAGTTAGCCTCACACAATTAAAGAACAGGTTGCTTGACCCTAAAATCTATGCTTCAACCACAGTATTACACAATTTAGAAACGGAATTTATAAAGTTATCTCTAAATAGGCTTCTTAGGCTTTCAGAGAGTTCAAATGGTTCTAAGTCACACATAACAAGGCAAACAAGAGTACCTGTGGCTAAATTCAAAATATAACCAGCTGACTTGGTCAAATCATTTGTCTTCCTCACACATAAATATTTGTTAAAATAAAGATCAATAAAATTAGAATCATCAATTCTTTTCCTCAATAAATATTTTGAAGTCTCTGCCTGTGAGCCAGTCTTTAAGAAACATTATAAAGAACTCTCTGATTTCTTGAAATTTGTTGGCCATTGAGGGAGTCAGACACTAACTATAGAAGCACACACATATCTAAGTAACTTGCACACTATAATTATCTTTGGAGGAACAAGTCTAGTACTATGAGAGAATAATCAGGAAAACCAATATTATTGGTGGTCAGGACAGCCCCTTCAGGGAAGCCATTTGTAATCTGAAACTTAAAGGAGGCACAGGAAGTAGTTTGACTGACAGTAAGGGGAGGAAGGAAGGTGTTCCAGGCAGAGGATGTACTTATTGCCAAGAGGAAAGCGTGACTCTTTCCAGACCAGTGATCCCTGAGTTTGGAGCCCAGGAAGAAGATAGGAAATGAGGCTGGAAAGGAAGACAATAGGCCCTCAGTATTTTGGAGTCTTACCTTAAGTGGAATGAAAACCCATTAAGGGATTTTCAGCAGTGCAGTTTGAGAATCTTCTGTCATTTTTAAAAGTTGTTTGAGCAGAATGAAGTTAGGAGGGCAGAGGTGAAAGAGGGTGGACAGTTAGCAAGTTTTCCTTATAGTTATCTATCCAGGCAAAAGGACAGTAGTGGTTCGGACTAGAGTGGCAACAGGAACATAAAGTGCACAGCTTGTACATACGTTTAGAAGAGTAGAATATTTAGTGATGAATATGATAAAGAAGGCTATGGGAGGACTGGGAGAAGTCCCAGGTATCTAAACTTAGCCTCTGGGTAGATGGAAGTGTAGAATAGCTAGAAAATAAGAGTAAGAGAGCAAATAATAAATACGTTCTGGTGGAGATAACTTCTAGATCTCTTATATTTTCTAAGTACACAGTATTATACCTAAAACAAAAGGTTGTTAAACATGTAAGGAGGCAAGGAAACAGTATTTATAAGCAAGAAATAAAACAGGCAAAATAAGGTGAACACTCTCAGTCAAGGAAATGCAAATTTAAAGAAATAACACAATAAGAAATTAATATAGCCTCATCAGAATGTCTGAAATTTAAAAACACTGATGATACTATGTGTTGGTTTTAAAGTAGAATTATTGGAAATTTCAGGCATTACTACTTGAGGTATAAATTTATAGATTTTGGAAAACTTTTTGGCAGTAGCTAGGAAAACTAGATATACTGATACGTATGACTAAGCAACTCCAATTTTGGGTATATTTCCAAAGGAAATGAGCGCAAAAGTCAAGCAAAAAACATGCAAAGGAAAATTCACAGCTGTTTTCAAGAATAGCTTCAAAGTGGAAAGTTAAGGGGGTAAATGGTATAGGACTGCAATGGAATACTAAGTGTGTGTGTGTCCCTCTCTTAATGCTGTTGCTAAGGAATAATCAAGAGCCCTTCTTGAGTACTAGGTGGGGGGAAGGGAGGAGAGTCAGAAGAGGGGTGGATAAGAACTATCTCTCCATTCTGAAGCCCTGATCAGCCGAATCAAAACCACCACCAAAACTAGAGATACAAAAGGTAATTATTTTTACAAAAACTAATCTTCAATAGAAAATAACACGTTTCTATTAAATAACAATATGCTGTAGTTAATTATGGAAAACTTTTTTAGCCTTCAGGTGTTCACACTTAAGTGAGCCAGGTGATAAAAGGAACTAGTCCTCAAGTAGTCACGTAGACATCTGTCTTCCAAATAGATGAACCTAATTAATTCAGATTGTTTTTCTTCCGAAATGTTTGAGTCATCAAACTGAGATAAGCAAAAACTCAAGCTTACATCTAAACCCAAGATCAGAGTGAAGACGCGGAAATTAACCCTGGCGGAGCCACCACCGTTAAGCCTCACTATCCGCAAGGACCTGGTGGCAAACCGCCAGGTGCCGGACCCCCGACGCCCTGGAGGCCAGGAGGCGCGGGTGGAGGCGCGGGAGCGCTAGCCCCACAGTCTTCCTCCTCCCGGGCCCCAGCAGACGCCGCCAGGCTCCCGGTGCCGCAACGCGAGGCCCCGCCCCTCGGCGTGCCTCCGCTCGCTCGGTCGCCGCGTCTCCATGGAAACGGCCCTGGTCCCGCGCGGCCGGGACCGCGATGGCGGCGGGGGAGCCGGGGGATCTGGGCGGCTACTACTTCAGGTTCCTGCCTCAGAGACCCTTCCAGTCTCTGAGCAGCAAGGAAACCCGCAGCCGGCTCCGCCAGTGGTGAGGGGCCGCGGGAGGGAATGGCGCCCTGGGTCTGGGCGGCCTTGGAGGCGCCTCCCGGCGGGAGCTGGGCTTCAGGGCGGCCGGACCGCCCTGGGTGAAGCTCCGGGCGGATTCCGAGCCCGGCCGCCCCGGCTGCCTACGCGCCCGCGGCGTGCGGGCCCCAACTGACTGCCTCCTCCTGTTCCTCAGGTCCATGCTGGGCAGAATCCAGGCACAGGCCTTCGGGTTTGACCAGACGTTTCAGGCCTATCGGAAGGATGATTTTGTGATGGTTGGTATGAAGGTGGAGAGGGGCCGGCGCCCCTGCTGCCTTTTAAGTTTTCGTACATTCTTGTGAATGCGCCGTTCCTTAATGACGTCGTTTCCATCGGCGTTTAAGAATCATAAAAGGTACAATGGCATTATTTTTCAGTTAAGGTGAAGGTTCATTGACAAGACTGTTTGACTTAGGGGTACAGTTCGGCTTCACATCTCGTCAAATGTATGTTACCACAACATGTCCACCACAAAATTACTAATAACTCCACACCACAGGCAGATTTTACTTGCTTCCTTACGTCGTGATAAATGTGTTTTTCCTTTAGCTCATCTTCAGTACACTGCCTTAAAGAACAATCACTCTAGAAAATTTGGATTTTTTTTTCCTTTTTTACTTTTTCCCCTTAGAGCACTTCGTTTTTTAATATTACCCGGCTTTATTTACTAGGTTTAGCTTCAAATTATTTTTGGTTGGTTTTCAAATAATATCTGTCTTGTGAGAACGGCTCTAGCAACAGTTCCAAAGGAAAAATTCCAAAACTGGCTTTAAGAGTTGTACCACTAAGTCTTTAGCCAGTTAGGAGGTAACTGCTTTGTAAACCAAAGCATTCACTTGAAAATACAGTCAAGTTATTTTAAACTCTGGCGTGTTTTTATTTTTTTCCTTCCTAATCAAATGGAAAACTTGTGGTCTGTGATACAATCTTTGCCTTTCTTGTCCCTAAAGGCATTGACTTTAGTGTATAGTTGGCAGTTTATTCACTCTTTCCCAAGCATTTCCTGAGGGGCCTACCGTTGTGCTCCTAATTCTGTCAAGTGTTGGGGATACTAGGAAGAACAAGCCAGACAGGAACCTGGCTTTCAAGGACCTTCCAGGCCCATGGCAAGACTGCCAATAAAAAACTCAGGTCATTTCATCTAGTGCTAAGTGCAATGAAGGAAGGAAGGCAGAATGGAGAAGGGGGAGCAGTAGGATTATCAGGGTTTTCTTAATATTACTAATACACCAAAATATTTACCATGAGAAAACACTCCTTTCTCAGGGCTACTACTTCAAATATCAGCTTTAAGTTCTAGGGTCAAGGTGTGAGCAGGGCTCTGGTCCCTGAAGCCTGAAGAGGAGAATGCACCTTACTGCTTCCTACCTCTGGTGGGCTCCCAGCAGTCCTTGGCATTCCTTGGCTCTCCACTGCAGAACACCCTTGGATAGAGTAACAGAGTCTCTACCCTCATTTGTCCAGGTCTTTTTCTCTCTTTTGAGAACCCTAGTCTTACGGAATTAAGGGCCCACTCTACTCTAGGAAAACCTCATCTTAACTAATTATATCTGTGACCACTCTGTTTCAACTTAGGTCACTTTCTATTTTTTAAATATTTATTTATTCATACAGACTGGGGTACAGTCCAGAGGAGCAGGGAGGTGAGAGGATTCACCAGAGACAGAGTGGGGAACAGACCAGGCAGATCCAGGAAGTACACTGCTGAGGGGCACAGTGGGTGGTTTAGGAGAGGTCTGCAACACCTTGTGGCTCACCTCCAAGGCTGGGGATTCAACTTGCGCTGAAGCGGCTGCTGCTGGCTTGCAGTGCTGCGCTTTCACCTGCTGTACCACCAGGGCGGGCCTCAGATCACTTTTTGAGGTGACCAGAATTGGACATGAATTTAGGGAAAAGCTAATTCTGAACAGAGGGTTAATTGGTTAAATGATCATATTGTTGCTGATAATACATTAGTGACAACTCCCAAATATTCATGGTTAGATTTTTTTTTTCCTTTTTACTCAAACTTCGAAGTCATTTCTACCAAAGACTCATAACTGAACAAAGGGCATTGCTTAAGCCAGAATTCCAGATTTTTAATTTTCCCTTCAATATAAAAACAAATTATATTCTAAAAGTTCATTTGTGAGGAAGCAAAGAGATGGAAGAAGGAAGGAAGCAGCATTCACCAAGCAAACATTTCTTTAGTGCCAACATCTGTACCAATGAACAGTTAGACTCAAAAGAGTAAAACACTAAAAATTGCATTGTGAAGAAAAAGAAATGATAGCACAACCTGTGCACAGGTACTATGGTTGCACAAGAAAAAGTGTTCTTGACTGAGGTGGTCAGAGGAGGGTTCATAGAAGACAAGCCACTTGAGCTAGACTAGCCTGAGAGATAAGTAGAATTTTGTCAGGTAGACTTAGCAGGCTAATACCAGGACCAGAATGGGATGATATTTTGCACCTTTTGTGCTGTGCAGAGGAGTTTGGATGTCACCTAGCTCTGACTGAAACTAGCTCATGTTTAGTCACTGAAAGCTTTTCAGCCAGACAGTAAAATATAAAATATATTGGCCCTCCCTGGTGGCGCAGCAGGTTAAAGCACATCACTGAGAATCTAAAGCCACTTCCGCATAAATTCGATTCCCGCCTGCCCCGGAGGTGACCACATGGTGTGGCAGACCTCTCCTGACCCACCCGCTGCTCCCCTCAGCAGTGTACTTCGCAGATCTGCCTGTTCTGCTCCCCGCTCTGTCTCTGGTGAAGCCTCTCACCGCCCCTGAGCCTCTGACCTGTACCCCAGTTCTGTATGCACAAGTAAATAAAAATAAATCTTTAAAAAATAAATAAAATAAAATATTGAGAATCCCCATTGGCAGAAGTATAAGGGGGGAGATTGTTACGACTGAATCTGAAAGCAGTGAGTCAAAACTGAAAATTTGTCCTCCAGACAGTACATGGTTATGTCCTCAAAGGCCTGGAGAGATGCTTAAAGGAAAGGAGTTCATAGAGACTGATACTATGTGTTTATTTTTTTCTACTTCTTGGGACTGATAAGATGTGGAGAATAAGGGGGTGACATGTCTCTGATTTGTTGAATGGAGTGGCAGATGATAACATTAAACACACACAAGTTACAAAAGAATAAACAAGGGGCCCTCCCTGCTGATGCAGGGGTTAAAGTCTCAGCACTATCAGGCTATCATCAGCCATGTGGCCTGCGTTCTATTCCTGGTCAGAGAGCTAACCCTTATGGCACAGCAGACCTCTCCTATCTCATAGACTGTTTCCCTCAGCAGTGTATTTCAGTAGATCTGCCAGTTCTGTCTCTAGTGAATCCTTTCACCTACCCCATACCTCTGGCTTAAACTCAATTCTTGTATGCATAAATAAAAATAAATTTTAAAAAAAGAAGAAGAAATAAGGAAATGAGTCCAATTTTAGGAGTAATGACTCGGAGCTCACATAGATAGTGTTGGCATCCTTACCATGGGGCTACAGATAAAGAGGGGATTCTTCTACCTTAACAGGGGAGTTTATAGAGCTTTCCTGAAAGTCCACATGATACCTCTGCACTTCGGTATACATATGATGGTCACACTTCAAATACACAGAGGAAGGACAGACTTTTTTTTAAATTGAGACAGCATTAGTTTACAACATGGTAGGTTTAAAGTGCATAATTTCTCACCTCAGCAACTGTGTATCACACCACACCCAAATGTGCTGTCACAATCTACCACTAACTAATTAGTTCCCTCTTCCCTTCTTTCTCTCTGGTAACCAGCATCCTGTAGTCAGAGTCTAAGGGTTTGTTTTTGTTCTATTTGTTTACTTGTCCCCCATTTTATTCTTTGTTTTTTTCCTTCTGACATTTCACTTAGCATACCCTTTAACGTCTATCCAGGTTGTCACAGATGGCAAGATCTTAACTTTTTTTGTGGCTGAATAGTGTTCCATTGAATATACAGAACATATCTTATTCCATTCATTCAACCATTGTCACACACTGAGTTCATTTCCGTACTTTAGCTATTGTAAATAGTGTTGCAATGAACATGAGGGTGCGTGTATTTTTTTTCAAATTAGTGTTTTCGTATTCTTTGGATAAATACCCAGAAGTGGGATTACTTGATCATATGGTAGTTGCATTTTTAAATTTTTGAGGGACTTCCATACTGTTTTGCCACAGTGGTTGTACCAATTTACATAGTCAAAAACAGTGCCCTAGAGTTTCTTTTTTCTACATTTTCACTAGCACTTACTGTTTCTTGACTTTTTGATAATAACCATACTTGCTCGTGTCAGATGAAATCTCACTGTGGTTTTGATTTGCATTTCCCTAATAATAAGTGGTGAGGAGTATGTTTTCATATGTTTTTTGGCCATCTGTGTGTCTTTAATGAAATACTTATTTGGATCCTCTGCAGAGCAGACTTTTATCTGAGCACTTTGCTGTAACCGTTAAGGAAGAAGGAGAGAATTGATAATGGATCAGAAACCAGCAGCCTACCAGATAGATTTAATAGTCAAGTATCTAACTATATTTCAAATGTGTGGTATATACTAGACATACATTTTAAAGTACATGTTATTTAAAACAATGCATTAATTTAGAAATATCTTTTACACCTTACAGTTTGTGAAATATGTTAACTAAAATCTTCGCATTCATTTTGACATTGTTATCGCTAACGAGTTTATGAGTCATCTAATATTTTTTCCAAAGCATATCAACTTTCCTAAAGTTACTCGAGAAACAGTGAATTCTTTCTTAATGCATCACTAGAAATTCTATAATAAGCCCAAATTATCTTTTGCATACATTAGGACTATTTTTTTTTAAAGTTTATTTTCTAGGTGTGTAATTGCAATTTCAGTAACAGCCATTTTATTGTTTTATTTGAAGGATCTTTCTGAAGATTTATTTCTGTTGTTCCAGGTCAATTCACTGAAGGGTACTTAGCTTACTTCAATTTATAATGACATGTGAAATGTAATTGTAAGTTGACAAAAACCCAGAAATCATTACAACATAGAATTAAATTTTTCCCTTTTCTTGGTTCTTTGACTTCTCTTTAAAAAAAAAATTCAAATACCAAAAGACACTTCTCCAAAGAGGAAATGCAGATGGCCAACAGGCATATGAAAAAATGTTCAACATCACTTGTAATAAGGGAGATGCAAATTAAAACCACAATGAGATACCACCTCACCCCAGTGAGAAACAACTAGCAACAACAATTGTTGGCGAGGATGTGGAGAAAAAGGAACTCTCCTGCACTGCTGGTGGGAATGCAAACTAGTACAACCACTATGGAAAACTGTCTGGAGGTTCCTCAAGCTGCTAAACATGGAGCTTCCCTACAACCCAGCAATCCCACTCCTAGGTATCTATCCAAAAGACACAAAAACACTGATTGAAAAAGATACCTGTACCCCCATGTTTATTGCTGCTTTATTTACAATTGGAAAAACATGGAAGCAGCCCAAATGCCCAAAAGTAGATGACTGGATTAGAAAGATGTGGTACATATATACAATGGAATATTACTCAGCAACCAAAAAAGAGAAACACATGTCTTTTGCAGCAACTTGGATGGAGCTGGAAAAGATCATGCTTAGTGAGATAAGCCAGAAAGAGAAAGAAAAATACCGGATGGTCTCACTCATAGCAGGAGTATAATGGACCAGGCGAGAAAATAACAAAAATAATGAACAACCATAGACCAGAGACATTCTGTGGGGGTGGAGTGGGGAATGGGATCAAAAACGGGGGTGGGGGGGAAGGGAGGGAAATGCATGGGACTATGGTGGTGGCACAGGGGTGATTTGGTGATGGGAAACCCGTGGGGATTACAAATGAGATGAAAAAAAAATGTGCAAAATAATGTAAAAATAAACTTTTTAATGAAAAAAAAATTCAAATACCAATTGTAGTTGAAGTTAATTTAAGCTTGTATATCCCTTTAAGAATGTATTATCAAATAAAATAGTGCACCAACATCCTTTTAAATTTTTAAACACAGTAAATTTATAAGACAATTTTTTCCTGAGGAATGATTGTAGGAAAAACATTTCTTTGTAACTGAGCAAAGTATTTAACGCTATCTTACACTACTAGAAACAGGGAATTTATCTTAGCATAATGTAGACATTTGCAAATCCATGTTGAATGTATTTGTCTTTACTTCACACATCTGGGCCTCTTTTCCTTTCTCATCAAGTAACATTTATTCTGTCTGTTATTTTGTGTAAAAATTCCAGACATCATCTTGTATTCCGTCTTCTCCCTTTGTCCCTTCCTCTTGAATATCTGTTGAATCCATACTCTTCCACCCCCTTCTTGTCATCTTGAATGGTGAGAATTTCATATATAGCTGCATTACAGCAGTACCTCGTCTCTAAGCAGTGTCTTCATAGCCCTTCAATTCATCCTGTACGCTGCAGCCAATATGGAGAATAGCTTTTAAAAAATATAACTTGAACCACATTCTTCCTTTGCTTAAACCTATTCAGTGTCATCCTGTTACCTGTAGATCAAAAAATGCGTCAATCTAGATCAAGCTTAGATCAAAATCAGAATTCTTCACTTAACCTAGAAGTCCTCATTTAACTCACCAGTCTCACCTAATCGTAAGAATGAACGTTAAATATTTTATTTTTGTGGGTTTTTTTTTAATATGCATCTCTCTTTTCTTGCATACACACTTTTTATACTCAAAATATTTACGGTTTTCCTTCAGACTTCATATAGCAGCTGTTTATTGAATAACTGTTCTGTGTCAGGGCCTGTTGTAGGCCCTGGGGATATAGCAATGAGGAAGAAAAACAAGGCCCTGCTCTTATGGAGCTTATATTTTATTCTAATATTTTTTCTTCAATAGCTGCATACAATGTAGTGTAAAAGTTCTGTATTTTATTCAACTATTGTTGGTAGACATTGGAGCTGTTTGAGGTTTTGACACTACAAACAATACTGTAAAAAAAGATCCCCTTATACAGAAATCTTAAGACCTGGTAGTTTCATTTCTGTAGACCAGACACCAAATTGGAATGCATTAGATCATAAGGCACACATATTTTTGATGTTCAAGATAATGGCCATTTACTTGCTCAAAAGATTGTAAAGAGGCACACCTACCAGCAGTTTGTGAGAATGCATATCTTCTGGTATGTTCATTGGTTACAATCCTTTTAAATATTTTCAGTGTAGTGGGTAAATATGGTACCTTGTGGTTTTTATTATCACTTCTCTAACTGCTCTTGAAGTTGAGCCTCTTACTGGTGGTTTGTATTTTTTTACATAATATTTGTATCCTTTGCCCTTTTTAAAATCAAGTTGTCAGTATTTTTTTTTTTTTAAGGATTTATTTATTTGTATATACAGAGCTGGGGTACAGGCCAGAGGCTTAGGGGCGGCAAGAGGCTTCACCAGAGACACAGTGGGTAGCAGAACAGGTAGATCGACGAAGTACACTGCTGGGGGACCAGCGGGCGGGTCAGGAGAGGTCTGCCACGCCATGTGGTCACCTCCCGGGCAGGTGGTGATCGAACTCATGCGGAAGTGGCTTTAGCTTCTTAGTGCTGTGCTTTAACCTGCTGAGCCACCAGGGAGGGCCAAGTTGTCAGTATTTTTTAAAATTGGACATTTTTTAAGCTATTGTAGATGTCAGCCATCCCTATCCCTTCCTTATAAATAATTTTTGTTGCAAATTTTTCTTCATTCTATTATTTTTCTTTTCTTTTATTATTCACCATAGCCATCATTATGTTTTCTGGTTACCCTGTGCCTTTTAAGCATACATGTACCTTAGGGGTAATTTTTACCCTTCTGAAGTCCCTAGTGGAATCCAAAACACTTGCCTCTTTGGCACTCAGAGCATAAACCTGGAATTAGGTCTACCAATCAGATTTATTGGTGAAAGACTAGGATTCAAAGTGAGCAACATAAGGAGTTGCATATGGAACTCGTCTCCAGCAGAGGTGGAAGCAGAGGTGCCCAGCATTCAGCAGGACATTCCTGGTACATCAGTGGCCTTGGCGAAGGCACAAGTAGGTGCAATACAAAGATGACTGTGTCTTCAGATGATTGTGCATTGTCCCAGGGCCTACCCTTTTGTCTTATATTCTCTACTTCCTGAAAGATTACATGGAGTGTTTGAGATAATATCTTTGATAAATTCTAACCTTTTCAGTCAGAGTCTGCTGCTGGTGCTTGGAACTAAAACTGTTGACTACCTTATTTCCTTCTGCCATATGGAAAACTTTCATGTTTATGAAGTCTTACCTGTCATTTTTTGTTGTGGCCCCTGAATAGAATCAAATTGATTACCTTAGTTTCAGATTTAGTGGTGATTATTAAGACAACTAGGAAAACAGGATTGAGAGAAAACAAACTTTTTAAACTTTATATAAAACTTACTTTTTATCCTATGTCATTATTTTTATTTATGCCCCCAAGATAGCTATATCTTGGAGAACCTAAACTGTTGTTCAACTGTTCCAGTTAGAAGATAACATTTCTTTGTCAAAAATTTCTTAATTAGATATTTTACCAATTTGAAACTTCCTTGCCTGATTTGAATTGCAATTTTAAAAGTTAATTTTAGAAGTTAATATTGTAGTTTATGATAATTTATCTAATACGTTCCCCTCACATTTGTATTTTAGGCTTTTTTCAAAGATCCGAATGTTATTCCCAATTTGAAGTTACTTTCAGATTCTCCTGGACAGTGGATTACATTAGGTAAATAAAATTTATTTTTATCTTTTCAGTTGACTTTATTGCTGTTTTAACACAATGTTACCTCAGAAGCTCTCATTATTATAATACAAATTGGGGCTACCTGGCTGCCTAGGGGGTTAAATCTCAGCACTACCACTTCTGTGGCCTGAGTTCAATCCCTCACCAGGGAGCTAACCCACACATGGAGTAGCAGACCTCTCTTTTCTCTCCTGCTGCTCCCCTCAGCAGTATCTTTAAATAGATCTGTCTGTTTTTCTCCCTACTCTGTCTCTGGTGAATCCTCTCAGCTCAGAAGAACTTTGGCCTACACCCCAGTTCTTCTATGCAAAAATTATATGTGTGTATGGGTATACAATATTTGTAGTGTGTGTGTTTGTGTGTATAATACAAATTGAGGAATAATGTCTCAATTATTTGGTAACAGATATATAACCATCTGTGCCAGGCTGCTCTGCATCTTTCTCCTAGGAGTTGATGATGCACTTTCTTGGCTTAACACTTCGTGGAAGATGCCACATGCAGAGAACATTAAGATGTATGAGTCAACCCTATTCTGTGAACTCTGTTATATATATAAAAAAAATTGCACCAATGTATCATGGATGTTACCTTAGCCATAGGAATAAGACAAGGAGAATAGTCATTTGTACTCATTGAAAGGATCGAGTGACAATGCCACTGATATCTATACTTGAAATTGTAGAATGCTGGCTATTTATTCTATGTTTTCTGCTAGAGGTACTTATCTATGATGAAGTTTTATTTATAAAGTAGGCATAGTAAGATTATCTGTCAACAGCAAATAGTAGTAAAATAGAACAATTATAACAGTGACTATAAAAAAGTTACATGAATATGATCTCTCTCAGCATCCTTATTATGTCTAATTTAAAAAAATATAGTTATTTATTTATGCATGCAAGAACTGGGATACAGGCCAGAGGTACAGAGATAGGGGGTGAGAAGATTCATCGGGGACAGAGTAGAGAGCAGAACAGATGAATTGACTGAATTACACTGCTGAGGGGAGCAAGACAGGACAGATCTGCTGTGCCATGTGGGTCAGCTCCCTGGCTGGGATTGAACTTGTGCTGCAGTGGCTGCTGATAGCTTTATAGGGCTAATGCTTAACCCCTTGTGCCACCAGGAAGTCCCCTATATCTGATATATTTTTAAAGATTTTTTAAAAATGTATTTATGAATACAAGAACTGGGATATAGGCCAAAGGTGCCGAGGTGGTGGGGAGGGTTGAGAGGATCCACCAGTGACACTTGGGGAGCAGAATAGGTAGATCTACTGAAATATACTGATGAGGGGAGCAGCAGGCGAGATAGGAAAGATATGCTTAGCTATATGTAGCTTAGCTACCTGGTCAGGACCTCATGCTGCAGTCTCTGGGGACAGCTTGGTAGTGTTGAGACTTTAACCCCTATGCCACCAGGGAGGCCCTATCTCTAATATTTTTGAACTTTGAGTAACTGAAACCACAGAAAGCAAAACCAGGGATAATTAAATCACAGAGGAGGCTTAAATTCTCAAGAGGAGTACTTTATATAGATAATATTTTCATAGTATTTTGAAACACAGCTAGAAATCTTTAAGTAAAATACCAAAACATGTAACACTCAAGTCTCTTAAATTCAAGTCAAGGAACAAGTCACAGAGTTAATAGATTATTATGAAAACAAAAGCATGAACACTGTATTTTAAATTTTAACTGAGGCCTTACCTATAGAAGAAATCATTCCATTTAGAAGAATCTGGTTAGTAATGTGGATTTGTGCTCAAGAAAATACAGGTTGATTTCAAATTACATGAGGTTGGTTTGGTAAATTCTAAATTGCATTTTCTTGGAACTCCAGTAGACTTACATACTCAAAAACTTAAGGTATTAGTCAAGAACAAGATTACAAGTAGTTCATGATGCTGTCGACTTTGTAGGTCAGATTTTATTGCTATTGGCTAAAGGCTACTACATAATTTATAAAGTAAAATGCTGGTACAGTGTGATCTTCAGACTGCTTACAAAGTTAAACTGTGCAACTATATTTACCAATTTCAAATCTTCAAAAGGAACTAAGCAGAGCCATGTATCACATATTGATATATACTTCCCAAAATAACACCTACTCTTTCTAATTTTTAAAAAAGAGAAGTTATAAAATTCCACATGTGTCTGACAGAATCAATTAGCAATACTCTGAAAACAGGGTAGAGGGATAGCATTCTGTTTTAGAAGTTTCTAGTGGATTGCTAGTATTCTTTGATTAGCTAGTTTGTATCTCTTCTTTCTTGCTTTTCTTCATTTTCTGACATATCACTATCATTTCTATTTAATTTTCCTGGGGGCCTCAATAAGCAAAAGAAACAGATTTTTTTTTTTTTAATGAGAGAAAAATACATTCTTCTGGCAAGTGAACTGGTTTTAAACATCTTGACAGGAGAATGTTATTCCCTACTGGCCATGCTGCCCACATTCCGGATTGATGGTGCTGCTTCCTCCTCTCAACCTCCTCTCCCCTACCCCCTTCCTTTAGATCCACTCTCCACCCACCCTTTGGGACTAACAGAATGAAGCTTCTGTGTGCTCAGTTTAGGGTGACATGTACATTCCCTCATCTAAGTCACAAAAACAACTCTGAGAGGTATTTTTATATATTCCTGTTTTACAGTTGATAAATTAGAGTAAGAAATTGCTGCCTCTCATTTTACACAGTTGGCCAGGTGGTGTTGAGAGTCAAATCCAGCCTCCAGAATTCAAGAACTTGGCACTCACTGTACCAACCTGCCTTTGCCATTGCCACATGAATGGGGTTGCTAGAAAATCACCAAAGGAAAAGGAGACATACAGTGTATGTATGTCTACTGGTGCCACAGGAGAATTAATGCGTTCTCAACTCTCTCCCTAATCTTTTTTTTTTAAAGATTTATTTACTTATGCATGTGGAATTGGGGTACAGGCCAGAGGTACAGAGCTGGTGAGAGGATTTACCAGAGACAGAGTGGGGAGCAGGACAGGCAGATCAACGAAGTGCACTGCTGAGGGGAGCAGAGATGAGACAGGGAAAGTCTGCTGCACCATGTAGATCACTTCCCGGGCAAGGAATCAAACTCGCACTGACTGTTGTACCACCAGGGAGGGCCTTCTCCATAATCTTAGCCAGGCAAAGATTACATAGATTACAGGATTTTTCCAAATTCTTACAGAGAGCATAGTGTGCTGAAGATTGAATTGCACCCCTCCCCATTTAGCCACAATTTGACAATAGTTAGAGATGAGTGCTTTGGTAGATCAATAGGTTTAGATGAGGTCCCAGCCTTGACAACTCCTCAGGATGGGACTCTGCCCTTATGAGCACTATAAGCAGATCAGATACCTGTACTCTCTACCTTGTGTGGGTACTCCAGAAGATAGCCATCTACAAGCCAGGAAAGAATCCTCACCAGGAACTGAACCAGATGTCACCTTGATCCTGGACCTCCCAGCTCCATAATGATAAGAAGTAGATAGCTGTTTAAATTAACCAGTCTACGAAGGGTTTGTCTTAGCAACTAATGCTTATTTTGGTACCAAGATATGGAATGCTACTATAACAAGAACCAAAAAAATAAGTAAATAAATGCACAGGTGTCTTTGAAACTGTGTAATGGGATAGACAGAGTTTTAAGGTACATGCTAGCACTATGGCTTTTAGGGTAGTTTGGTGAGATCTTAGATGGAAATGAAGCACATGTTACTGGAAACTGGTGGAAAGGCCAGAAATTCTTGTTATAAAATAGTAGAGAATTTGGCTGAACTATGCGGCAGTGTTTTGTAAAAGAAATTTTGGATGTCTAACTGGGAGATTGTTAATTAAAGTATTGAATGAGTGGCTTGATTTCCTCCTAACTGCTTATAGTAAAATATGAAAGGAGAGAGGAGAATTGAATAAGGAATTTTAAAGAAAAAAGGATAAGCACTTAAAGTTTAAAAAAAATTCACAGCTATCCCTATTGCAGAAAAAAAGTGTAATCTTGTTTTGAAGAGTGCTCTAAGGGTGTGACTGAGCCACCATTTGATGTTTGATAAGAGATCCTAAATGTAGCAACTCAGGAACTTAATCACCCATTTCAACAGAAGCCAGGAATTGAGATGTGATAGTACCAGCCAAGACTCTTCTGGGTGAATTAAAGACAACAGAAAAAAGCAGGGTAGACAAAGGCAGCTGTCAGACTTCTTAGATCCTCTATGAACAGACTATAAGGCCACAGAGTTGCACACACACACATTCTTCCAGGAAAAGGAGGAGGCCCCAGAAGACTGCCCCCTCAGTTTCAACTTGCCAAATGGCTTCTGGCTGAAGCCTTATGGGCAGGGCCACCCTGACCTTTGGGAGCTGAACCAAACAACCACCCCACTGGAAGGCACAACATTGTGCCCAAGAGGAGGATCCTTTTTAAAAAAATTATATCATTTTTTTCTTGAGGTAACATTGGTTGACAACAGTGTATATGATTTAAAGGAATAGGTTCATACCTCTTCAGATATATTTTACCATACCCTACTTACCACCAAAGCACCTATAATCCTCTACCATTGTCCATTGGGCCCTCTCCTCCCTTTACTTCCCACCCCCACACTCTCCTCGTAGCCTAGGTTCTACAGTAAGATTTCTAGGGTTTGTTTGGATTTCATTGAATCTGTCCTTTGTTTTGTTTCTCTATAGTCTACGTATGAATAAGTCATCAGATATTTGTTTTTCTCCTGACTTATTTTGTTTAACCATAATCTTCTAATTCCATTCATATGGTCATAAATTACAAGAGTTCATCTTTTCTATTTTTATTGCTGGATAGTATTCCATTTTGTGAGTTTGTGTGTGTGTATGTTTTATAACCACAGCCACTAATGCACCTTTCTGTTGATGGATATATGGGTTTTATCTAAAACTTGGCTGCAATTGATATAGGATGCATATATCCCTTCAAATTAGTGATTTTGCATTCTTTGGATAGATACCTACAAGTGGAATTGCTCCTAGAACTATTTATAATATGGTAGATTTGTTTTTTTTATTATTTTGAGAAACCACCAGAGTGCCTAGATCAGTTTATGTTCCCACCTAACAGTGTATGAGGGTTCGTTTTTCCCTATAGTCTAAGAGGATTATTCTTAAAGCTTAAAATTTAATGGAATTTGCCTTGCTAAATTTTGGTCTTGCTTGGGGTCATCACCCCTTCTTTCCAATTTCTTGCTTTGGGAGTAGAAATGTCTCCAATGCCTAGTTACCACTGTGTTTTGGAAGTAGATAGATAACCTGTCTGGTTTCACAGTTTTCACAACTACAGAGGAATTTTGCCTCAGGATAAAGTGTCACCAGTATGATCTAGGTGATATTTACTGAGACTTTGGACCTTAGACTACAGAGTTGATACTGGGATGCATTAACTTTGGAGACTGCTGGGATAGAATAAGTGTAAAGGACATGAACTTTGTAGGATCAGCATGGAATACTATAGACTGAATTGTGTCCCTTTGTTATTTATATACTGAAGTTCTAACCTGACCCATGACCTTATCTAACCAGAATTGCTGACTAAAGGGCCTATATCCAAAGATCATCACACTGGGAGTTAGGGCTTAAATATATAGACTTAGAGGGACACAATTCAATCCATAGTAAACACTATTTCCATACCTTAGATTAAGTGGATTGGATCTCTTCTCACCCTCCAAGCACTCCTGCAACTCCCCAAATCAGAGCACACATCCATTTATAAAATGACATGTTGCCTACGTCAGCCCCTCATCCTATGGCTGCCAGCCCATCCTTGAACATTGGCTCTACCCTACTCTTGGTTTTTGATCTTCCAGTGGTGCTCAGACCTTTTCTTTGATCTTTGTTTTATTTTAATCCTCCAGAGGATTTTGCTTCTGAAACAAAAGGAGTTGTTCTTAGCAGCATGGCATTTGAAATGACTGAGATACACACAGTTCCCTAGTTCTGGAAATCCTTGCCTCTACAGTAGCCCAACTCAGGATCAGAAGGAGGTACAGGCCCTAGCAGTGCTCTCAGTGGTCATTAGAGCAATGAAGTAAATAATCTCCAGCTTTACTATTCTCAAGCTCAGGCTCCATCTCAGCCAGAGATCCAGCACATGTCTTAAGGTGACAATGCACCAAGATCCGCCACCCCTAGAATTCAGTCTCCCTCCTACTCTGTATTGAAGAACACTACTCCTTCATATACGAATGACTGCGTGGATGGTAGTGGGTGTATAAAACAGAAGCTGACTAAGTGATTCACTGAAGCAATAATAGAAATATTCACTCTATGTATTTCTATAATTAAATGACAATTTTAGTAACAAAATCCATCTCTGGAAGACACATTCAGGAAACAATTATGGGATAGAAGAAAGAGGTAAAAGTGTGTGTGGGGGGGAGAACTAGAACTACAATATAAAAATGGACAAACCACCCTAATTTTAAATTTCTCTAATTCTGAACTTGTAATAACTCTTTGGGTCCTGGTTTTAAATTTACCTTTTACTTTTTTTTTTTTGATAATAACAATGTAAATGAGTTCACAAGGGAGAAACCCCTAAATGAAGAGGAACATTTTCAAGATATACCTTGATATCTTGGACTTTGGAGATACCCATTACTTTAGTAAAAATATTCGCAATGTGAATTATAAAGCAGTAAGCATAATATAAGTCCAAAATATTCAAGGCAATTCCCATCCTTTTTTTGGCAATTCTGATATATGCATTAAAACTGATCAAAAAACCTCCTACCACACACAAAATATAGTTCATTTTCAAGCATTTTCTACTTTACATATGTTAAATCTATGCCTCAAATGGTGAGATTTTGTTATCAGGTTTTAATGCTTGATAAAAATGAATAAGCTCCAAAATAAAAACTAATGTGTCATTAACTTTATGAAAACATGTTGTATTTGGTTACTTTTAGAATCTCTTCATAGTGATATTTGCTTTAGAAATGATTGAGAATACTAAATTAATTTCTTTATTGCTATAAAATATCTTTTCAGGAACTGAAGTGAAAAAAATTGAAGCTGTAAATATTCCTTGCACACAGCTTTCAATGTCATTTTTTAATCGGTTATATGATGAAGGTATCGTGCGAGACAATGGACATATCGTTAAATGTCTAGACTCCTATTGCGATCCTTTTCTTATTTCAGATGAATTACGAAAAGTAAGTACAGAATTTAAATTATTCACAGTAGAATTTAGTTTCAGGAAATCTTAAAGTCAAAAACGTTTACCAACCTAAAGCCCATAATAGTCATTATAGTCCGTGGATTTCTTTTTGAATGGCACTTTTACTTTGACATACACATTTCTCCCTAGCCTTCAGCCAGGTGCTGTGACACGTAAAGGTAGAAGCTCAACATGGTGCAGTACATAGGAAATACACCGCAGGGCTCTGGCCCGAATGGCAAGGGGCTAGTGGAGGAACTCTGGCTTTTCTACGTAATGCCTATTTTTCCTCAAGGTGGAGTTTCTTTTTTTAAAGATTTATTTATTTATGCATACAGAACTGGGGCATATGCCAGAGGTGCAGGGGCGGTAAGAGTCTTCACTAGAGACAGACTGGGGAGCAGAACAGGCAGATTGATGAAGTACACTGCTGAGCGGGTAAGACAGGAGAGGTCTGCTGCACCCTGTGGGTCACCTCCCTGGCCAGGGATCAAACTCGTGCAGAAGTGTCTGTGGCTAGCTTTGTAGTGCTGCACTTTAACCTGTTGTACCACCAGGGAGGGTCCCTAAAGTAGGGCTTTTAACATAACATATGAAATTTGAAACATATCAAATAATTTTTTTTGAAGTAACTATTATAAAATACAAGTTTCAGAGGTATGTCATTATGGATCAGCATCTATATTTACTACACTAAGTTTATCATTACTTGGATAGTTTACCCAATAAAATAATCAAAAAAGAACTTGGCTAAAAGAAGATAATGGTTATCAGAGAGATTAGGGTAAATAGTGTGTAGAGGAGGAAGGCAGATGGGGTATGCTGGAGGTAAAAAATAAAGGTTTACCATTACATGTCCAATCAAATGAATATTTAAAAACATCCCTGCAGTAAAAGAATCTTTGAATCTCAGGTGTGCTAGTGAGAAGTATACTGAGCTAGGAATCAGAAGACACAATAATTTACTTAATTCTTGATTTATTGTTTATAAGATAATACCAACCTTTTGGCAAATCATTGATAATTTTTAGTCTCAAGATCTTATCTGTACAACCTCGAGATTAAAATATTCATTCTACCTTCCTTGAGAAATGAGTTGCAAAGGCATTTTAAATGTGCTTCTTTAAAAAAGTATGAAATGCTGTTACAGTGAAGCATAGTATATCATTAATTATTAAGAAAGAGTATAAAATGGCAAAAAGACTTTGGTGTCAAATAGATATGGGTTTAAAATCAGGCTCTGTCACTTTAATAATTGCAGTACAAGCCTCAGTTTTTACATCTATAAAATAGACACAATGTAAGAATTATATGAGTGGATGCATTTAAAGTACTTCCCACAGTGCCTGGTACATATTAAGCTTTCGGTAATAATAATGGCTATTGTACTATTTATTACCACGTACATTGAGAGAGGGAAGGAGGACATCAGATTTCCTGTTCAGACAAGGATAAATTAGGGAAGCAGTTGAGGCACCATCTGGACACAGAAATCACGTCTGTAGACCAGGAGAACTGCAACCAGGCTCAGGTTTTATGTTGATCTACACTAAGATAAGATACAAATAAACTCTTAGTTTAAGAAGAAAATAGAACAAGAAAATTAACCAGTTGAGACCAGTCAAATTCACACAATGGATGAGACTATGTATAACTTGTTTTTTAGTTAAGTGAAGTGTATTTCTGTGTAACCCAAGATAACATAAATAATCTCCAGTGGAGACCTGATAGTAATTTCTATTCCTTACTGAAGATTGGAACTGAACATGAGAAAGTTTCTCGTCTAGGCTGAATTCCCCTCCTTCCAGGAGCTATTTAATCTCAGCTCTCCTTTCTGTCACTGAGCTCAGATCTAAGCTGGCCCTTACCCCTCATTTCTGAGCTTTCACTGTCCCTTCTACAAAGAGAGCCTCATTAATAGACTTGTTTTGAGGAGGATTTGCTTCAGCAGAGTACTCGGCAGAACTCCTGCTGCTGTCGGTCTTATTTATTGCTCCAAGAGCACCTCTATTCAGGAAGTGCTGAGCCGCCTGGTTTTTTTCCATTTGCCTGTATGTTTTGCTCTTCTGTTCTTTGCCACTTTGCAGCAACAGGGAGGGTTTTAACTTGCTTGCTTTCTGACTGAAAAAATAATTTCCAGCCTTAGCCTGAACTGAAAAGGGCCCCCCATTGTGCAGCAACAGAGTCTATTGGCTCCTGGTGCAGTGTAAATGCTGGTAATCAGGCTTTTCTGACTGCTCTCAGAAGTCTTGCCATTAACCCTTGCAATCTGCTCTCCCGGGCTGCAGATCTGTACAAGAATGGACTGGGAAAGGGCTGGAGAAAGCTACTGCTTTAACATTCATTCCTAATTGTTTTTTAGTTAAGGTAGGTAGTTTTTAAATTGTATAGCCTAATCAATTCAGCACATGAGTGTGCTCTAGGAAGGAATGTGTTAGCTATTCATTCCTAAGGGCTTTAGTCACCCTTTTGGATTAAGCCAGATCTTCAGGTAAACTGCAAAACTGGGTTTCATTCAGTATCACAGTGTTTCACTCTGGAGGAGTAAAGAAGATGAGATGGGGGGAAGGGAAGGAAGGAGGTGTGCCAGGTGTTTCACATGGCACTTCAGAGGACAGTAATCATATATATATATAACTTAGACTTTCATCAAGTCACTACAAGTAAACAATATATAGGCAACACCACATAATTTATTATTTTTTAAAATATCTCTTACATAATGACCTTGGAATGACTTTTCATTTGAGATTGAGGCATATAAAGTGTTAACCTTCATCAGTTTCCTACTTTCTGCAACTAGACTATTGTATAACTCTTATTGCCCTCCTTTGCCTGTGAGGTAGTGAGTGGTAAGTGTTATGTATAATTTTGTAGCTTTTCTACTTCTGGAATTCCTTATTATATGAACTGTCTCTCCCTACCTTATTTCTTGGTTACAACTTTTTGTCTTTTAGAATTTTTATCTTATTCTGTGTGTCTATATTTTATTGTTCATTCTTTTTAAAGTAGGTGGGGTATACACAATTCAGTAACAGAGCTATATTAGAGTGTACATGCATGGCCTCCTCATCACTGCCACCAGCAACAAGCAGTCAATGTCTCAGTGCCCAGTGGTGTGAGGAAAGCACCTGCATCCTCCTAGTTAAATTGGGAAGGTGGTAGCAAGGTCACTGTAAAGTGGTGAAGTGTAAGTCATGTTATTAGGAGAAAGTGGAAAAGAATAGTGGTTATAAGTTCCCTAAGTAGTTCAAGGTGGACTTCCTCAGGGAACAAAGAAAATAGCGGTCCAAACACTAAGGTGGGAACGCTACAAAATGGAGTGGAGCAGTTTCTCCACTTAACGATATGCTCCCTTGTTTCCAAATGCAATTTAAGGTGACTATATATATATAACAGTTTTTTTGCATCATTTTGTACATTTTTTTTCATCTCAATTGTAATCCCCATGGGTTTCCCATCATAAGGTGACTATATTTTAACATTGCAGCAGAACAATGCAGTTACAAAGGATAAACCATTAATAGAATCAAAAAATCCGGAAGAGTGGAATTAGACCTATTCTTTTCCTTTAATGTCAGTAAGGAGTGACAAAATGGAGGGAAATAAGAACAGGCCTGGCAGAACACTGTGGTACCTCAGAATTGCTTCTTAACATAGGTCTAAGATTATTTTTAAATATATAAATTGAGCTTTTAAAAACATAAAAATTAAAATCTCAAATTTTGTTGCTCTAAGTTTTTTTCATCTTACATAGGTTTTGTTAGTGGAAGACTCAGAAAAATATGAAATCTTCAGCCAACCAGAGAGAGATGAGTTCCTGTTTTGTCTTTTCAAGCATTTTTGCCTTGGTGGAGCCCTTTGTCAATATGAAGATGTGCTTAATCCATATCTGGAAACAGCAAAACTTATCTATAAGGATCTAGTGAGGTATTGTTGCTAGATTACCATGTGTGTGTGACTGGTTAATAAAGTTCTTGTTTAACTACGATGGGATTACCCAGCATCTGGTGAGGCTCATGTTATCAACTGAAGTGTGTTGAAAGAGCCCAGCAGGACCCCCTTTTCAGAGCTGCCTCTTTCTCTTTCAGGCTAGAAAGCTTGTGTATTTTCTGGCCTTCCTTTAGTCCTCGGTCACCTCATTCTTCATCTGCCTCTGCTGCTTGTTTAAGATCTGTGAACTACTCTGTCCACTATTAGCAACTTCCACCTTCCTAGTCTCCTTTCCCCCCTAGACTGCCTTTAAATCTCAAGGAATATAAGATCCCTCAGGATGTTTTCATGTGCTTGACTAGTAGTAAAGACAAATACTGCATTTGTTCTAAAGAGATGAGGAAATTGTCATCTAGATGCAATCTTTACTTTTCATATTAATCCTAAAACTATATGGTTTGTTTCAGGTATTACACACTAGCAATTCTTTTAATTCTTTTTTTAAAAGATCAAGTGAAGATAAAAACTTTACAAGTCTCTTAAGTAACCTTTTAATCTTATTGACTAACATTGATTAGACATTCTTTGGTTGGGCTTTTCCATGATTAAGGTATTGGATCATCTTTGTGAAGGGACAAGAGAAAGTATAGGATCCCAGAGTTTTGTTATAGTTTTACTTTAAGGAAAACAACAGACCTTTGCTACTTAGTTCTTGGTATCATTCCATGATATTCAACACTGTAGTTCTTGGTGTCATTCCATGATATTCATAGAAGCAATTTCAGAAAAATCATACGTATATCTAATCAAGCATTTTATGCTAATCATTTATAGCTTATGAAAACTGACAAGACTGCACCTAGCATTCCTATAAATATTCTTCCATACACCGTATACACACATACACACTCACATGCAAGCATGTGGGCATCACCCCAGCCAAGAGGGGAGTCAATTGCTGGGGTTGCAGGAAGTGTCACCAGTGCCATTCTGGGAGGCCACAGCCACATGCACCTGTAGAATTCCTCACTGTCATGCTGTGGAGGAGATTCTTTTGGAGATATTTGATAGAAATAACTTGAGAACCTAAACATTAAAGATGTTGCTGTTTTTCCCAACATTCCTTTCACTGGATTCTCACCTGTGATTCTCTTCTACACATTTTGGGTGCTAAGAAAAATACATTACTCAGAGAGTAATGGCCACTCATAAAATGAGTAGCCAAAATGCATGACATCTTCCAGAAAGAATGGGAATGATGTTCATGGAATCACTTCGGCAGGCAATCAGTAAGTGCAAATAGCATGCACAGAATTCTGCCAGGCTCTGAAGAAACTGCAAGACTTCAACCTTCAGGAAATTGCAACAAACCAGCAAATTAGATAATTGTAATTATTCACAATTGTTCACAATCTTTTATAAGTAAAATCATATAATCAAATGTTAGCAGCTCTTTGTACTGTAGTAAATACCCTGCAAGTTCAAAAGAGGAGATTGTTCGTATGTGGGTGTGAGCAGTCAGGGAGTCTTGATGTAATGAGTGGCCAGCCAAGAGGGGGGTCAATTGCTGGGGTTGCAGGAAGTGTCACCAGTGCCATTAAGGGAGACGACAGGGAATCAGCCTAGTTACAGCAGGACTCTTCTTTGAGAACATTAAATATTTCTTTCAAAAATTCAAGTTCAGCCATGCTGATGAATTACTTTGCTGAATGACAAAGGATATGAATTTGTCTTCCCAGAATAACTTCATATTTACTTAAGATGCATTAGGTGCTAGCACAATGCAACAGATAGGTTTAATGTCACAGTCTGTTAAAAGCAGTGTTGCTCTGCTTATCACGAATACTATTCATGTATTTTCTAATACTAGCCATGCGCTGTCATTTGATTAGAACTCTGGCATTTAGAAGAGAAGATACAGGGTGGATCAATGTAATATTTATCAAGGAACATACAAGTAGAGGAAATATAATCTGAACTTGAAGTATCATCACTAATTTTTCAGAATTCTGAACCATATACCGAGTCAAATTATTTTTCCTTGCCAACCTAACAAAGGATATATTTTCCTATTCTCTTGCTTGAATTTTGGGTGTTTTCATATGCTTTTGAAAACTGTTGTGTTTCTAACTATACATGCAGTGACTGCTGCTTTATAGTATCTAGCAGGTTGGCCCTTACAAACACTAATATGTCCCAGGGAGGGAATCCAGCGTTTATGTTTTTAGATATTGGGAAACACTATAAAGCCTAATTTTAGGAGTCTCTGGCTCAAACAGAGGCTAAAAATATTTCTAAAATGTTTTCTCCCTCATTTGTAATGTACTCTGAAAATGTATCATTTAAATATTTTGGAAAATGCCTTTTCAATGATTACAGCTCTTTAGATCAGGTAAGTAGTACTTTAGTACTTTTTTTTTTTTAAGTAAATGATCATTTCATTCCATGTCAAAAATGTCCATGCAGAAATAGTTACATGGTTAATAATGGTGCCTGTGTCTTTCTCCTTTAGACATTAAACACAAGCTCTTGTCAATGTTTTTGGAGAGATTCTCCAAACTACATATCTGTACCACATGTAACATTTATGATGTGAACTGAGAAATTCAGATTATGGCACTGATGCTAATTAAGAATGGGCTCCTTATTTGTTAAGATGAGCAGAATTACCTAGAGTATTCTACATACGACTGTGTTTAGAGTCAATTTAGGAATAGATCACAATGATACAGATAAGAAAACTTTTCATTATATTGCTTTCTAAACAACTAAGATAATCACACTTTTTGCAAGAACTATTTGAAAATTTTGATCTAGCATTGTTAAAAATCATGGATTTTTAAGGTTACCTGGAGAATGTTACTGACTACCTGAAATCTGAGTGACTTACTGCAGTTCTTTTTTTTTTTTTTAAAGATTTATTTTATTTCTGCAGAAATAAACTCCAGAAAGAACTGGGGTGCGGGGCAGAGGTATGGGGGATGAGAAGTTTCATCAGAGACAGAGTGGAAAGCAGAACAGCACATTACTGAAATACACTGCAGAGAGGAGAAGCTGGCAGACAGGAGAGGTCTGCTGCACCATGTGGGTCAGATCCCTGACTGGAGATTGAACTCAGGCCTCAGACTCAGTGGCTGGTGATAGCATGCTAGAGCTAAAATTTAAGCCCTGTACTACTAGGGAGGCCCAGAAAATGATTCTTAAAATGATATAATTTAGAAAATAGTTTTCATATAGTTTACTGCATTTATTCTCATATAGTCCTAAAAGGAACCATATGCTCAGTTTACATATGAGAAAATTGAGACTCAAAAGTTAATCTTGCCCAATGTAAGTCAGTAGCAGAATGGGCATTTCTGTTTAGGTTGTTTACTTCTTTAGTTTACTATTCTTATCTATCCTTGAAAGTTATCTATACTTCAATCTATAATTTACCAATTCCAGTTATTTTAGTTACTGTCTCTAGCCTGGAATCTAATCTTCTGGGTCTCAAACTGACCTCAAACCTTCTAATTATAAAATTCAGTTTTCTGCAATTTTAATTTAGGTGATCTTGCTCAATCCTTGGATGAACTGTAGAGGCTATCCTTTAAACCACTTTAGTTGCATAAACATATTTTCATGTTATATTTGAATAAGAACACCCATACACTAAAAAGAATCCGTATTAGATGTGTATTTTACTAATGCTTGATTTATATAAAGTATGCCCTTTTTCCTCTCTTCTTTTAGTGTTCGAAAGAATCCTCAAACCAAGAAAATACAAATTACTTCTTCTGTCTTTAAAGTTACAGCCTATGTAAGTGTTGAGGGGAATTTACAACTAATTGATTTAATTACATGTTATTAAAATGATTCTTACAAATGGAGCTAGAACTAGGATGATGTTATGACTAGGAGAACAGATAATGTTAAGTTTTTTATTATAATTAAATGTTAATGGGATATGTTTTTATGTGGAGAACAATATGAACTCTCCAGCTTCCTTTCTGCCCTCTGGATCTAGTAATAGTCTTTATTGATGTTAGAGCTAAATGTGTGACTTGACTGGAACAGAGTTCTCTTTGTCAAATCATACTTTATAGGGACAATAACTAAAAATGCCAGAAACCCTTTATATTACAGCAGCTGATACATAAATTTTAGCATCATAGTACATATAAAGCAATTTCTAAGTATCTTCAGTCACTTAACATATTGTTGAATAGCTAGTGTATCAGCTTCTTTCAAGGTAAGGGCACAGTTAAAAATAAAAGTAGTCTCTACCCTGTAGTATCTCTAGGCCATGTTCTAAAAGCAGACACAATAACATTGAAAAAATAGAAATTTTTGCAATATTTGCAATTTAAAAGCACTTTTCCAAAAATAGAATTTAATTCTGGGCTATAATCCTTTTGTGTGTGTGTGTGTGCATACAAGACCTGGGGTGTAGGCCAGAGGCTCATAGGGTTAAGAGGACTCACCAGAGATAGAGTAGGGAATAGAATAGGCAGATCCACTGAAATATACTCTCGTTCTGAAGGGAGCAGCAGGTGAGACAGAAGAGGTCTGCAGTGCTATGTGGGTTAGCTTCCTAGCCAGAATCAAACCCAAGTCATGGCTATAGCTTGACAGTGCTGAGACTCCAAACCCTGTGCCAGGAGGGAGGCCCCTGCCTACCAATTCTCATAGTCAAAAATTATGCAAGTTTGTATAGGACACATGTATTATTAGCATTATCAGCTGTGCTGTTAATAAATATTTCACAATACTAGTTAGCTGCCAATTTATATAATGAATAATGAATTTATATAATGAATATAATGAATGATGAATAATCAGTTAAATAGCTGACTGTTTTTGAATGTAGTTGTGTATGAAATAACTGAGGTAGGTTTGTCTTTTTCAGGATTCTGTGGGTGTGTGCTACCCTTCAACAACGAGCCATGAGCAGACATTTTCTTACTTCATTGTGGATCCTATCAAGCGCCACCTTCATGTTTTATATCATAGCTATGGGGTGGGGGAAATGTCTGAACATTAATTTTCTAAATTGTTCACTTAATGTTATTTTTCTTTACCAGTTTTTAAATTTTACTACTGGTTTCTAGAAAGACATTGACTTTGAAAGTTAATTTAAGTAGCATATAAAGAACATGCTTAGAACACAAGGAAACAAATTTGTCTGAAACACTAACACAGAAAAATATGCTATCCCAAACCCAGTCTATACCAAACCAGTTGTAGAAATTTTATAGAAAGCTCCAAAGTACTCAAAGTCTAGTTCATATTTGTTGCATGAAGAGTTAAGTGAGTCAATTTTCCATGTATTTGAGTTTAGAAACTAATTCATTCTCAATTGAAGTTATGGTAGAAGACTAAACTAAACCTCTCTACCTAATATGAATTATTAATTAAAAAAATTAATTATAGTTCTTCGTTGCACAAAGATTGACATCTCTAGGACTGTGAAAGGAAATGTCCTTGCTTCATTTAAAATCTTCAATAAAAAATTAATGTTCTGAAAGGAAGTATAAACTCTTCTATCATATAATAAATTAAAACTGCAGCTGTTCTTAGAGAATATAAGAGCTACATGTTAACATGAAACAGAGAGAGAGCTGTCCTGATGCTATTAAGTTGGCTTAAAGGTAAGATGCAGAGTCTTTTATTACTGTCCCCTCATTAGCTTCATAGTAGAGAGCCACAGAAATGTGGAGAGAGGCAAGATAGGAATGTGTGTTTCTCTGTTGTAGTGAGAAGGATGTTAATGTTGGACTTGAATTTGTGGATTTATCTGGAAGTCAGCTGGCAGTTTGTATTTAAAGCTTAGGAGAGTTTGTTTTATTTCTGATACTTTGCACAATATCTTGGCACATTAAATGCCAAAAGAATGCTTTCCAAATATGTTCATAATATTCATAGCTTTTAAAAGCATCATATGAAAAATCAAATTAAGAACTAACATGTCATTTGCTACTGGTTTTGCTTTCTACTGCACAGACCCCTATAACCTGAGGATCCTTTAGATTGCTTTAGGTGAGATGAGGACTTTTATGATATACTCCCATAGCAACTTTTAAATGTGCAATCATTATTATCAGGTATAATCCCCAATAGGTGGTGCAGAGAATCACATTTAGGTGCAAGGTTGTGGAATTGACAGTGATTTTCTGGAAAAATGGATCTCACAATGATGAATTATAGAAAGAAAGCCCGAAGTCCAAAGGTCAAATAGAAGATGATAGTTGTCATAGCACAGAGTTGGCTAGTCTGAGTTAATAGCAGTGAAAAGTTCTCTGGGCATGGGAGAATGGAAGGTTCATTAGAAAAAAATCAAATATGGCCCTCCCTGGTGGCGCAGTGGGTTAAAGCACTGCACAGAGAAGCTTAACCCAACTCCTCATTAGTTTGATCCCCACCTGCCCCGGAGGAGATCCATATGGCGTGGCAGACCTCTCCTGACTCGCCCACTGCTCCCCTCAGCAGTGTACTTCGTTGATCTGCCTGTTCTGCTCCGCACTCTGTTCCGCATCTCTGGCCTATACCCCAGTTCTGTATGGATAAATAAATAAATCTTAAAAAAAAAATCAAATATAGCTCCATGAAAGGTCAGCTGGTGAGTGAATGGTGACGTGTTCAGTATTTGAGGTAGTAAGAACTGAGAAGTGGGAACTGTGGTCGGAAGCTATAGTCAGAGATGGTCAGAGAGGGGAAATCCCTTGTCCTGCCTATCATTCCTGTCCAACCTGAGGCTCAGCCAACTTGGGCCCTTACAACTTTGAGTTTCTAACGTCTGCCTGGAAGCTTCTTAGGAAAACTATGTATCCTGGAGGCTTTTCAGTTATCCAATTAGTCAGTAATTTTTTAAAAGAGTTATTTTTATTTACTTATGCATTCAAGAGCTGGGTTGCAGTCCAGATATGTGGAGGGTGAGAAGATTCACCAGAGATAGAGTGGAGAACAGAATAAGTGGAATGACTGAACTACACTGCTGGGTGAAGCAGCAGGCAAGACAGGAGAGATCTGCTGCACCATGTGGGTCAGCACCCTGGCTGGGGATCAAGCTTGTGCTGCAGTGGCTGTAGATAGCTTCATAGTGCTATGCTTTAACACCTTGTGCCACTGGGAGTTCCCCTTAAATGTTCTTTTTTAATGCCATCAAGTAATATCATTTTTTTTAAAAAAAAAGATTTATTTTATTCATGCATACAAGAGCTGGAGGTATATAGGCCAGAGGTGCCTGGGGTTGGGGGAGGGTGTGGGATAGTTCACCAGAGACAAAGTGAAGAGCAGAACAGGCAGATGCTGAGGGGAGCAGTGCGGGTGGGTCAGGAGAGGTCTGCTGCACCGTGGATCATCTCCCTGGCCAGGGATTGAACTCATGCTGCAGTGGCTGCTGATTGCTTCATAGTATTGAGACTTAACCCCTTGGACCACCAGGGAGGGCCCATCAAGAAATATCTTACATATTTTTTTGTGAATGTATATTGACTTTGGTCGGAGGCTCCAGAGCAGGGCATCACTACTGGATTCTCTGTTTCTCTAGTCTGAAAAAGAGAAAGAATAAGTGAAAACAAAAGAATACTCAAAAGTGTAAAAAGACAGGGGTGTGTGCTGCCTTACAGTAAAAGGTGTGTTAATTAACACTAAAAGCTGCATTTAGAATGGTATTTGGCAGTCTCCAACTGGCAACCCCTCGCAACTGGCATACCTGATATCCCTGATCGTATGTTCTTCAGTCACCTGGCTTGGCACATGTGTTGGTACCTTTCATTGGGGTTAGGAAGGCTACACTGGTTGTTTTAAATCAGGTTGAAACTTAGAATTACTGCATCTGCAAAGGTCCTGAGTGGAGAATATGTGCAGTGAGTTTTAGGAACTGAGATGAGTCACTGCAGAGGGAACACACTGGGCAGAGTGACGAGAGTTGAGGTTGGAAAAACACTCATGTGCACCTCTAGGTCAATGCAAGGAGTTTGGAATTTTGTTGCAGAGTAATGGGATACCACTGTAAGGTTTTAAGCAAGAGAGTAATGTGTATTTTCAAAAGATCGTTATGACTACTTTGTGCTAAGTGCATTGAGAAGACATGGGGAAAGCATCGCCAAGGTCAGTGAGACATGAAGGCAGCCTGGGCAGGGATGGTTTCAGTGAAGATGAGTGCCGTGGGCCAAATATCCTCCCAACTCATGCTGAAATCCTCTTTCAGTACTTCAGAATGTGACTATCCTCAGAGATGAGGCCTTTACAGAAGAAACTAAAGGGAAAAGGAGGTGGACCCTAATCCAATATGACTACTACTGTTATAAGAAGAGGAGGTGAGACAGAGACTCTAAGATGATAGCCATCTCTGGAAGACAGAGAGAGAGACAGCAGAAACCAAGCCTGCTGACACCTGGATGTCAGGGTTCTAGCCTCCAGGACTGCGGGAAAGTTCATTTCTGTGGTATAGTAGTCTGCGCTACTTTGTTATGGAAATTCTAGCAAACTAAGAGAGGGAAGTGAATGTATTCCAGATGTGTTTTTGGACCCAGAATCAGCAATATTTGCTAATGGATTGAATTGGAGTAATTGAAGAAGTGAAGGCTAATTCTGAGGCTCCTAGTTCTAGAACTTTCAGAACATATGTACTTAAACTATTTAAGAATAGTTTAAGAAACCATCTTATGGAATAAAAGAGCAACTGTTAATTGATTGTCGGGGCCAACCTCTATTTCAGGCTGTTGAGAGGCTGACACAGGCAGGGTCAATTGATGACCTTGAAATTGGAAAAGAAAGATGGGAACTAAGTGAAACAGGACACAAAGGGCAATGAATGGTATCTTGCAAAGGGAAGTCTTCATTGTTGGCTTTAACAACAATGTATCTAGGGAGTTTGGATACAAAAGAGGAATTGGCAACAGCTTTGAGTGGGGAGCAAAGGTGAAAATAGCACTTAAGGGAAATGAGTGTGGAACTCCAGGACTGAAGGGAGCAGAAAAGGCTGGATGAAGCCTGGGAGAGAAGCCAGGAATTGACTGTAGGAATTGAGGTGTGAGCTGAGAAGTATCTGATGTCTCTGGGAAGGTCAAAGGAGCTGGAGACATTTCAGTAAATATACATATTCACATATGCACACACATGCCGCACGCACGCGCGCGCACACACACACACACACATGCACATGCAAATAAAGGCCAAGGGGTCTGTACCTAAACCACCTGCCATTTTCTAAATAGGCAGCACTCTCACCTAAAGGAGTTTCCCTAAAACCTTCTTAGGGATCAGGATCCATGCCTCACACACTTTGTACAAAAACTTAATATTTGCAGATGCCTTTTTTAAAAAGGGCAGTAGGTAGTATGGTGGCGTATCTATGGACCAGGAACTGGAATTTCTGGCTTTACTGCTCAAGAGCTTGGGGCAAGTCATTTAACCCTGTTGCTCAACAGAACTTTCTGCAATGAGGGGAATGTTCTATATCTGTGCTGTCTAGCTACTGGTTACCTGGGAAGAAATTGAGGATGTGAAATATGGCTGGTGTGACTAAGGAAGCCAGCTTTCTAATATGTGGCCAGTGGCTGCTATATCCGCGTGGGCAGATTAACCACTCGAGTATTCAGGTTCTTCTATAAAAGGAAAGACTTGAGCTAAGTCCTAAAATGCTATTATTCTATTTCTGCTTTTAAAAATTCATGTGCACATTATGGGAGTTCACATTTTGACTTCCTAAAACCACATCTATTTTTTTTAAAAAATGTTAAAGTATGCATTTGTATACATAGAAAATATGTAAATGATGATCTTCACAAATTTTAATCAGTTGTATATAAACAAGTGATGTTTGGGCAATATATAGTGACATTAACAACTGGAGAACATGAGGTTCTTGGAGAAGATTCAGATGACTGCAAGAAGATGATTAAAGAGTTGAGAAACAAAACATTGGGTAAAGGTTAAGGAACTGGGATTGTTTAGAAAAAAGACCAAGGGAAGATTTAATAATTATATTCAAATATATGAAGGGTTTTTAGACAGAGATGGTATCCAGATGTTCTTTGCTATTAGCCAGGACTCTAGAGACATAGGTTAAAGAGGAAATAAGTGAGATATTCGGAGGTACATCAAGAGAAGTTGGTATGTTTTCAAAAAGTTTGGTTTTTAATTTCATAGTGTTTGAAACATTTTTATGCCACGTGTCATAAGGAAGTATACATATGCTAAAATAACAGAATGTTGAAACTGTAAACAAATGGAAATCCCTGGTTGTGGGTCTTTCAAAAGGGTTACTCATTAGTTTTCTGGTGAGATTCAAGGCATAATTTTTTGAGATTCTTTACAACATGAACATGTCACCAAATAAATTTATTTCAATTATCAATAAATACATGTTATATATTAGTAATAGATTTTTGTAGAATAAGTGGCTAGATTAAGTGATGTTTATCTAAATTATAATATGATAAAGGTACTTACTTTATTGGATCATGGGAACAAAGCATGGTAATATTTATAGACTAAAAACAGAATGGTTT